GACATACGTTTGTTTCCCTAAATTTGTTGTACATAGAACACTCAAAGACTTCTCCTTTCTGCACACTTCTTGCTGTGTTCTCTCTTTAGGGGCTCACATGAGGCGTAGCTAGACGGCGAATATTTTGGCCCGGGCTTCCGCTACAACAATTCGGCGAAGCATTGCGCTGTGATATCTGGGCCTGGGCCTCCGGTACAACACCCATGACCTGTTTGTTAGAAGTCCAGTGGAGAAATATTGAGGGCCGAGAAGGGGAAGGTGGTTTGCTGAGTTAAACATGCCAGTGTTCGCATCTCCTTCTTTCGAACTGCTTCCTGGAAGTCGCATATTCACTTCACGACAGAGATCCCGACAAACCGAACTAAACTAGGATCAAGAAAACGAGTCCGTGACTCATTGGCTAGAATGTTGGTCTTCTGATCGCGCCCTGGGTGATGTATCACCCGGAGTTGGATAGGATTGACTATCAGTCTCCCCTGTCTTAGCCGGAAATGTTCGTTTGGCTACACGAGTAGCCATTGTGCAGCTGCTGGGGGTGGGGGACTCAGTCATGAACCCCAAGGCAGAAAAGGAGGAGTGAGTTCCGCTGGCAATCGGAAAGCGTTCGTCAACGAATATCATACACTTGTTGCGGTCAAGGATGAGCAATCTCCAATAAAGGTGAATATGCGAGTTCCAGGAAGCAGTTCAGAAGAAGAAAATGTGACCACTGAAACAAGAGTTTTTTAATTGTCTTGACGTTTTGGAGTCCATCGAGAATCCCTACTCATAGGTAATGGTACAATAGTGTGAGTTATGCGCAGATAGGGGTGAAACATGCAGAGAATGCACGGTATTTATAGTTCGCAGCAGTAAACCGCGTGCCTACTGTAATTATCCACTTTTGAGACCTAAAAACCCACTGCCACGGCAAGAAACGGCTGGAGTCGTTTACCGGATCTGATGCAGTTGTGGACAGTGCAACTACCTCGGAGAAACCGGAAGACTACTAGGGACGCGAATGACCGAGCATGCAGCGGCAATGAGGAAGAGAGACGCCAGCTCCCAAGTTGCGGCTCATTCGACAGGACCCAGCCATATTTTAAAATTTAAAGAGGCCGAAATCCTCGCAAGAGCTGACAACGGCGTGATCCGCGAGCTGCTCGAGCCATGGTTCTCAGCCCCCCCCGTCCATCAACAAGCGCAACGATTTGGCTTTTTCCTACTGTGTAATGAGACATTGCCCGAGCAAGAGAATCAGTCACGTGGAAGGGCCGGGCCCAACAACAACAGCGAGGACAGCGAGCATAATTGTCGCGCAATTACCAAGCCCGCATCCGGCACGGACAAGGAAATGGCGGCAATTAATGAGTGGAGCGCGAAGTGTCAAGCCATCACCGCACCAACTAAGAGCCAAGCGGTGGCTACAAGAGTGAATAATTACAGTACGCAAGCGGATGACCGCTACGAACTATAAATACCGTGCAATCTGTGCATGTTTCACCCCTATCTGCGTAGGACTCAGACTATCC